TATCAGGAAATAATATTGTTCAAAGCCTACCCTAATTGATAGCATATTATGAGTGCCAACTATGGGCAGAGTCCTGGACTAAACCAATGTTTTTCTGCCCATTACTGTGTATTAGTTTTCAACTTCTCTATCAATTTAGTTTGCTCCATATTATCCCTTTATTTCCCTTGGTTGCTGCCACCTTCTTTAGTCGTATTCTATAGTTGTGGGAGCTCCAACTCCACCATTTTCTCTAGCCAGCTGTAATCATGAGTTATCGAACCATCTCTATAATGATAAAAATATATAAAAAGTCTGGAAATTTTGAATCCATGGACTTCAGTGCTGTTGTTGTTTTTTAAATTAAAATATGCCATACTTATTGAGCCCCAGTCATAGGAATTAGGACTGGCTTTGTAATTTCATAAGTATAGGGAACTCCCAGGTGAGCAAATTCCCTCTACCAACGCTGGTTGGCATCTGCTCTGCAGCTGCAGTCTTAGAAAGTTGCCTAGAGCCAAGAGAAGTGCTTAAGTGACTTTTGCAGGTCACACAGACAATATGTGTCAGAGTTGAAACTTCAAGGTCAACTGTCTACCCACTATCCCATGTTGCCTTTTAGCGTAGAGTTTGCTTTGTTAGTTTTAGAACGTGAAAATTTATTATATATAATTATATAAATATGTATTTTTTTAATTATGTACTTATATGGCCAGGATGTTCTCCTGACGCTGGAAATCAGTGAGCTGGGGATGTTACAAAGTTGGCCCTGAGTGTGTGTGACAGCGTGCTAAACAATTATTGATTGCACATGGAGAAAAGGAGAATACTGGTTTGAGAATGAGGAGGAAGTGATTGACGAATTGCCTCATGCTAAAATTTGAGGAAGTATGAGTCATTGCATATGATTGTGTTGATTGACCAAGTGTGGAGCTCCAAGCACTGTGATAAAAATATCCCATTTACCTTTGGGGTTGATCCCTAAAGAAATTTTAGAGAGATTGAAGAAAGGAAGAATTAAGCCCCTTGTTAGCATTCTTAGCCAGTGAAGTTAAGTGTTTTAGGGGCAATAATAACTATACTACTTAACTCCCAAGGTTTTTGTAAGACTCAAATGAGATAATGTATTTAAAACTATAAACCTCACTGCTTATAGAAATGTAAGCTATTATTTTATTATTGTTATTGATTACACATGCTATTGCCCAGTTTGATCACTGATGATATTCACCAAACATGGCTCCTAATGGTTTAGCATGTTTTCCAGACATCAAATTCATGCTCAGATAGAGATTTGCTACCACCCAGGATATTCAAAAGAATCTACCTCAAATTCCACAGAGGAGTTCCAAACAAATTGATCAATGATAAAACCATTAAAATAAGTGTGCATACTTCCAAGGTCATTACTTTAAAGGATTAATATTCGTTTGAATAAACATGTACTTCAAAAAAAATCAGCTTCATTATAGTCACCTCATCTTTGTGAACTAGGCAAGAATAGACATTATTGCCTTAAGTTTACAATTTAGGGAATTGAGGCTTAGAGAAGTCAAGGTATCATCCTATAGCTGTCCTTCCTTTCATAGCCAAACTTCTAGAAAAGCCATCTACATTACCTCCCGGATAAAATTTCAACTTCTTGAAATCTGGTTTCAGTTTTACTGCTTAACTGAAACTGCACTCTCCAAGGTTACCAATGGTGACTTAATTGCTAAATGCAGTAGTCTTTTCTCAGTTCTTATCCTTCTTGACCTCTTGATATTTCTGACTACTCTCTCTTCCTGAATATTTTTTCTGTTAACTTAGCTTTCACAATGCTCCCCTCCTTTGGTTCTCCTCCTACTTATCTGACCTTTTTCTCATCTGCTTCCTTTGCTGGACCATAATACATCTCATACCCCTAATCATGGGTAGTCCCCAGGAGCCAGCACTAACTGGCTTGTGAGAATCAATTATTAGATTTTAATTTTGATCATTTTAACCTCAGATATTGGCAATTGTTAAAGTCAGGGCTTGATTTATTATTTTGTTGATTTTCTCTAGACAATTAAGAAAGTCTTAATAATGCAGACAAAATTTAAAAGTTTGTGTGTGTGTGTGTGTGTGTGTTTTTCTTTCTTTCTGATAGAGCCTAATTTGTTGCACATTTGCCAGCATATCCCTGTATTGCTTTGCAAACATTGCTAAATTCCTGCCTCCACTGCAGGAGTACAGTAGAAGGCTCATGGAATGAAATCATCACCAGAATGGAGGCCTGGTGGCTGCAAATTAATAATAATAATAATAATAATAATGATAAATAGCATTCATATAGGGCTTTAAGGTTTGTAAAGTGTTTCATATCATTTATTTTATTTGAGCCTCACTAGCCCCTGGATCCCCTTAAGGCTCTGTCCCAGGCTCACTTCTCTTCTTTCTTTCTAGCTTTTCTTTTAATGGCTCTCATTCATTCCCATGGATTCAGTTATTGTCAAAAGACTATATATCCAGCCCCAATCTTCCCTAAGCACTAGGCCCATATCACCAATCGCTGCCTGAACATACTGTCTATGTGTTCCATTAGCGTCTCAAACAAAACATATCTAAAATAAAACTCATCACCTTTCTTCTCTAAATGCATCTCTCTTTCAAACTTCTCTGTTTCTTCCGAGGGTACCACCATTCTTTTAGTTACTGAGATTTGCAAATTGGGATGTCTTGTTTATCTCTTCTGCCTCCTTCATCCTCTTTGTTCATTCAGTTACCAAGTCTTGTTAATTCTACCCATGCAAGATTTCTGCCATCCGTTCCCTTTGGTCCACTCACATAGTCACTAGGTACTATTCAAGCCAGGAACTGTTTTGTTTTATTTTGTTTTTTAACTTGGATTTTTTTTTGTGTCTCTAAAACTTATCATTGTGCTTTGCACATAGCAGATATTGAATAAATACATATATGTTGAATTGAATTGAAGAGATCACATATCAAATGAGTAGTTAAGTCAGGCCTTGAACCCAGTTTTTCTGAGTCCAGGGCCTTTGGTCTTTGTACCTTCTTCTTGGTCTTTCACTGTTAAACTCCAGCTTGAGCTGGTTAAGTTTCCTCTGGTAGGATAAGTTGAATATGGATGGAACTAGAATGTCAGCACCTCTTGAGGCTGGGTGGTAATGAGGAGATTAAAACTCACAAGTTGAAGAAGACAAAGGTCAGACCCTGTGGGTGTGTGACACTGGAAAACGATGTTGATTCTATCCACAATGTGATAATGCATAGCTTGTTCTATAAATCCCCAGTATAAGGCATACTACAGAAAAGTCTGGATAATTTACATATACTCTATTTCAGTTTGGTAAATTGCTGATTCTGCTTTATGAGTCATTGTTTACTGCATGAAGATCGATATGAAGAAGAGAATGCTGGAATTCTAAGTCTGCAGTTTTTTTTTACTCATATAAAGCCATTTTTCTTTAGAGAGACAGCATGGTATAGTGAAAGGACACCAAATTTGATGTGATATCCTCCCCCACCACAGAAGGAAACATGGGGTAGCATTAATTGAGGCAATCATGGATACTAAAATAAAGTCAACTTCTTAGAGGAAAGAGGGGAAGGTTTCAAATTAAGATTGATAGTACTGACTGGGGCTGATTGTGAGTCAGGGTATGTTAGGTATGTCAATATCCAAGGATCTTGGATATTGGGAGAGCTGAGATGCCACTATGGATCTTTGACCCTACTGATAAGGTTGGGCTTGTGTCTTGTTTCCACCCAGTGACTGCTTATGTAATCTTAAATGAGTCACTTAACTGATCAGAGCCTCAGTTTTTAATTGGGTGAAGAGGGTCAATAAAATCTGGTCTAGTTGTCTCGCATCAAAGCTGATAATATCTATGAAATACAACATAGATTTGAGTTAATATGTAAGGGAAAACTTAAATATTTTCATTCTTTTTACCAATGATTACTTGTTTCACCTTGTTAGAAGTTGATATGATTATGATTAATTTTTAAACATAATTTTATTCTTTAGTTATATTAGCACATTATTAGCATATTAATTAGTACATCATTGGGAAGTGGCAGTAGTATCATTATGGGTCATATGGTATTATTTATACAGGGCTTTGTAGGTAATACAAATGAGCCAGGATCCAATAATAAATAGGATTTGTATAGTGCTTTTACAAAACACATCCCATGTGTTATTTCATAGGTGTTATTATCATCCCCATTTTACAGAAGAGAAAACTGAGATAGATAGAGGTTAAGTGACTTGTCCAGTGTCACATAGCTAGTTAAGTGTCTGAGACAGGGCTAAAATTCAGGTCTTTTTAATTCCAGGTTCAGGGCCACTAGTGTCAAAGAAGGATTTGAAGAGAGAGCATTTTTCCGATACATTTTAATTCAAACATCATACTAAACTTCATATAAAACTCACTTTCTGGATTTTGCTTTCTTCTTCCTTACCTAAGTGATTCTCCTCAATCCAATTAATATACTATCAGTATTAGCTATATTCAGCAACCTGGGTCAGATTCATATCTACACAACTTCTACCTTGTGCTCACTACAAAGTTTTACAAATAGGAATTGACTGCTTCTGCCTGTTCACTGGGGTATGAATTGGATGCTTTGATTATAAACAGCGCCTTTTGTGACTTTTCTGTGCAAATTCAAATGAACTTAAAATTATATTTCTGCTTTATGTATGACAGTTCTATCATTTCATTTTCTTGATAAAATGTTAATTTGTTTAGATCTTAACCTAGGATATGAATTTGTATAAATGCTTCCTTCCCGTGCCCTTTGTCTAAGTATCTAATAATTACTGGACAATGCCTTTAGAATAACAGTATCTGAGGGTTTTCCATGTTATCTTACAACCTTAATTTCCACATTGGTTTTCCTCCAGGGATTCAATTTTGCTTAGTTCTATTCATCAGTAAATTTTTCAATGTGTGCAAGTTTACATTGGGCATGACATATTTCTGAAGCTATGTGTACCAAGTCCAATTTTCCCCTTTAAATTCTCTTTACAGATATTCAAGAATTTTATGAAGTAACATTGTTAAACTCTCAAAAAAGCTGTGAACAGAAAATACAAGAAGCAAATCAAGTTGCAGAGAAATTAGAAAAGAAAACATTTCTTGTGTCAACCCATGAAAGTCTTCAAAAAGCTTCAGCAGAGGTAAGTTTTTGAAACTGTTGAAAGAGACAAATGATTTGGCGACCTATTGGTGGTAGTCGTAGTAATGTGATGGCAATGATGATTATTATTCCAATAATTATGACATTGAATGTCAGAGTTGGAAGGGACCCCAGAAGTCATCTAAACCAATCCATACCTGAGTAGGCTTTTCCTCTATTGAGTCTCCAACAAGGTACCCCATGAAGATGGATGGAAAATTCATTAATCCTTTTCACCAATGATTACTTCTTTCAACTTGCTAGAAGTTTATGTGATTATGATTAATTTTTAAACATAATTTTATTCTTTAATTACATTATGTTATTAGTATATTAGTATATTATTGGGATGTGGTGGGTCATATGGTGTTATTTCTAGTTTTCTAGTAAGGCAAATGACAGAGTCTTTTGACTGATTCTAATGAGGTAAAATTTAACCGGGATACATGGAAAGTTGATTATTTGGACACAAGTATGAGACAGGGAACATGACTAGAGAGTAATTCATCTGAAAAGATACAATGATTGTAACAGAATGCAAACTCAACATAAGTCAATAAGGTGATTTGGCAGCTAAAAAAGATGATATGAATTTAGGAAACATTCAGGGAGAAATGATGTCCAGGACTAGGGAGGTTATAGTTCTGCTATACTCTGCCTTGGTTGGACCACATCTGAAGATTATGTTCATTTCTGGGCACCACACTTTAAGAAGGAAATTGATGAATCACAGAATTTCCAGAGGAAGGCAACCAGTGTGGTAAAAGGCCATAAGCACATGCCACCTTGAGTGGAGAAGACTGAAGGGAGTGGAAGGGGACGTTCGACATCTGTAAGGTAATATAGAGGAGGGCTTAGAGTTATTCTGCATGACCTTTTAGGGTAGAGGTAGGAACAATGAATGGGCATCATAATGACAGAAAGAAAATTTTCCTTATAATTAGAGTTTTCCAAAAGCTGAAGGGGAAGTTTGGTGGCATAGTGGATAGAGCACTGAACATGTATCAGGAAGACCGAAGTTCAAATCTACTCTCAGACTCTTAGCCTGGGCAAGTCACTTACTGTTTAACTTCTTCTGCTTACTCTCTTTATCTACAAAAATATGTAGATAATAATACCTACCTAAGATGAAATAATATTTTAAAGTGTTTTGCAAGCCTTAAAGTATTAAATAAATATCATCAGCATCATCATCAATTACCCTGGGAAGTAGTTGGTTCCCATTCATTAGAGATTGTCAAGTAACAGATTAATAACTATGCTGGTATTGTGGGGAAGGCATTCTTTCCAAGAAAGTGTTGGAAAATGTAGACATATAAAATATATATATGTACAAAATATGCGCATATATTATATATATAATATGCATATATAAAATCTCTCAATGTTTCTTCTAAGATATAACAATAGAAATGACCTAAGCAGCAGTTCTCTGCTCATAAATATCAAGTAAGAGATAAAATAAAGAACTATGTGCTCATCAAAGGTGTTTGCTTTTGTGATGGAAGAGATCCAGTGCAGAGTCTAAGATTAAAAAGGATTCTCTGCGGACGGTGAATTCTTCCAGTTGTCCTTTCCCACCTAGTAACATTGGGTTGGTTGCTTTAAGTCCCAATACATTGTAGAATATACTGGAGAAAATCTGTAATCACTCAAAAAAGTTTGACTTGATTATTCATACAAACAGGAAAGAACAAGTGGATGAATATTGTCTATTGCCTAGATTATGAAATGAGTTATATGGTAACCCATAGAGCTTGTCCATCAGTATTTATATATGGAACAGAAAATACAAATAGACAGGAAGTTGGATCCCAGTTGAACAAGAGGTTTATCTAAGTTGAACAAGAAGAAATGTGTAGGCTAGATAACCTTCCAAAAATTGCCAAATTCCTCTAATGGCCCCATGGAAAACATCCCATGGAAAGAAAGGCCCATATTTTAAATACCAATAGTCTACTGGTGTTGATGTATAGCACTGAGACATGGAATACGATGGTCCTTGAAGAATTAAAAATGAATTTCACACAGGAGGCACTGGAGAAATGCTTGGTAGGTGTGAACAGACTGTAACATATAACCAATGAAGAACCTCAAAGAACAGCTGTAAAAAATGTCATTGAGGAAATGTTTAATAGCAAGAGAAGATGAGTTGGTCTTGTGGAAAGGGTGAGGAATGGCAGATGGACAGCTGGGGTGATTAACTAGTGTGCAGGAAATGTCTAAAAAAATTAGGTAGGCCTTAAAGATACTGGGTGGACCTCTTGTGGCTAATTTATGAGGAGCATCACACAGGATGGGAAGGCATGGATGGGTTCTAATCTTTATGATTGAAGGGAATGCCCAAATCAATGAGATTCTTGTCCAGGCACGCACTGGATTGGATGGCCTCTGAAATTCCTTCCAATTCTGATATGGTGTGATTCTTTGATACCTTCCAAGTAAGCCCATTTACTTTCTGGACAGCTCTAATTACACTTACTTTGTATGTACCTGCTTTTGACTCCTAGGTCTACATGCCTTTTCTACAGATAGAAGCCAGTCTCCTTGAGGGCAGGACCTGTTTTGTTTTTGTTTTTGTACTCCAGTGCCTAATGCAGTGCCTATGACAGAAAAGGGCTTAATAAATGCTTCTTTGCTTTGATTGCTTAGCTTAAGTGCCACTTTCTTCATTAAGCCTTTGCTGGTTCCCCCCTCCTCAGCTACTATGACCATTCCCTTACTCAAAACTACCTTGTATACATTTGACATATACCTAAATATACTCATATATAGAAATGCTAACTCCCTTATTAGAATTAAACTCTTTGAGGGCAGGGATAGCTTCATTTTTTTCTTTGTTTCCTCAGTTCTTAGAATAGTGCCTAGTGAGTGCTTTATAAATGTTTGTTAATTGGCTGATTACTGATGGACTGATAACAGGTTTTCAAGTCCTGTCTCCATCTTTGTTGCTCTCTCTTCCTGATGTATCCTAGATTATGAATGTCCTTTCTAAGGTGTATGTATATGTATGTATGTATGTATATATGTATGTATGTATGTATATACAAACATACATACATACATGCATACATATATACATGTGTATGTATGTATGTATATACAAACATACATACATACATGCATACATATATACATGTGTATGTATCTCCAAAGTTCGATGAAAACCTGTACTTAAGCATCTACTATAGATTTTATAAAAGATCGTAGGATTATAGATTTAGATTGGAAGGAAAATTAGAGGTCCTGTATTCCAATGTTCTTATTATACAGATGAGGAAACTGAGGTCCAGATGGGGACCAAAGTGACTCTTTGATTTATAAAATAATTAATATGATCATAGGATCACAGGTTGGAGAGAGAAGAAAACTTAGAGGTCATCTGGCCCAACCTAATTTTATTAATAAGTATTCTCAGCCTCACAGTGGTTGAGTGACTTGAACAAGGTCATACAAGTTAAATAAATGGAACAGCTGGGAATTTAATGCCAGTCCTCTGACTCTTTGTGAATCTTGCTGTCTTCTCACAGAACTAGAAAGGAATGGACAGACTTGCTTAATCAACAATAATAAAAGTAATATATAATGATTTGGCACTCTAAGATTTACAAAGAGCTTTACTTATAACAGCTTTGTGAACAGACAGTACAAATTTTATTGTTTCCATTTTATAGAAGAGGAAATAGGCTCCGAGTAGATAAGTGATTTGGCCATTGCTTGACCAGAATTCTATCCTTGGTATTCTGTCCTTAATGCTAACATTCCTCCCACTACCTCATTCTATTTTTTTATTAGTCTATAATAAACGAGATTATGTATGATGAATAAATGCATAAAAATTAAGGGACTGTTCAGTAATAGCAAAAAGCATAGAAGCAAAGAATAACGGTGAAATATCTTGTCTTTATGGTTCAGTTTCTATCTAATGATTGCACCTAGCAGTTATCTAGCAGTTAATAAGTGCTAATTATTGGTCATATGTATCTTGGGAAGAGTAATTACAATAGAACTACCAATCAATCCATCAGTGAAGTATTTATTAAGTGCCTATTATGTCTAGGCACTACACTAGGTACTGTGAGATAAAAGCACAAAGAATGAAACAGTCCCTACTCATAAGGAACCAGTATAAGAAGAGAGTGCATAGATTGGTATATGAGATATGGAAGCAGAAAGCCCTATTCCTATGACCTCCTGAGATTATGCTACATTTGTATTCCTCTTGGAAGAAATTTTCACATACATGTTAAATATAAGATATATATTTTTTTCTGCTTGTGGAAAAGGTGGAAGGAACTGATGAATGCCATTCTATATTCAGACTTATGAGAGAGAATGAAGGGTTTCTAGACATATAGAAGGGAACAAGCTAGCAAAAGAGTCTTAGGAATCAAAGGAGAATGAAATCCATTATCAAAAGGCAGATGAGTTAGGAGAATGTGACACACATGAAAAAGGACAATAAACCTGTGAACTACTGGATCCATATACTATTTACTTGATGCTATCTATAGAGGTTGAATCTCAACTTTTGGAGGAGGAATCAGCATCCCATATCCCATGCAACAAGGAGGAAGAGCTATGGATTCCCAGAAGTATAGGGAAATCTGTTACTGATTACCAGAGAAAGAGATACATTATAATAATAATGACTCCTTTCTATGGGACACATAAGAGACTGCATGTAGATCTGATGTGGCCATTTAGGAGGCATGTTGTCTTTTTGGCGAATGTATCTAAAATAGATGAATAATTTAAAATACATAATATTTAGATTGACATATACAACATATTAAAATAGATGAATCCTTTAAAAATATATAATATTTAGATTAACAGAAGAAGAAATAGATAATTTCAGTAACTCAGTATTAGAAAAAATAAACTACACAAAACATAAATGAACTCCCAAAAGGGAGCAATGTTCTAGGACCAGATGTATTTACAAGCAAATTCTATTAAATGTTCAAAGAAAAAATTAATTCCAATTCTACAAAAAGT